ATATTGTGAACAGATCTCCATCGATGTCCGGATGAGAGGATGCGAATTATGAAGCATTCAGCTACATTCCCTGTATGCCATCACAAGGAGAAAAATTCAACACACGTGACACTTGTTAGTCGATAAAACTGTTATTGATGAGAAAAGGGACTGGCATTAACTTAATCCAATCACTTCTCTTCGTAATGAACAGCAGGCAGTGGTAGTTATCTACTTTGGTCTTAGCAAAGCCTTCGACAATGTGTCACATACACGTGTTCTGGCGAAATTGGAAGCCCTCGGCATGCGAATTCCTCTACTCGACTTCATCAATTCCAGCTAATCCAACCGCTATCCGAAAGTCAGATGGTTGTAGCTACTTGATACCTCACTCAATCACATGTGGCGTACCTCAAAGCACATTTCGGGGTCCACTATTCCTCGTTAGTTACATCAATGATATTTCGACTGAACTCAGAAACTCGCAAACGTTTATTTATGCCGATGATTTCAGGTGCGTTTTCGTCTATTCTGAGGATAACGCAAACGTTTGTGTTAAAAAGTTGATTGTGATTTACTATGCTTAAGCGGATGGAGTTCAAAATGGCAGATGCAGTTTTTGTCTTTCAAGAGTGTTTTCATACATTTTGGTCCCGCCACACTTCCAAGACTCATAATTTTTCAGAATAACGTACTCTCAAAAAAACATTGTCATAAAAGGCCTAGGTTCAAGCTATACAAATAAGATCACTTTATCGGTTCATGCGGATAGAATGTATGCCAAAGCTGTGCTAATATATGGATTTATATGGCATAATTCTTCCTTCAGGAAATGAAGCTAAGACTTTGTTAAATGTTTGTCCGGCAGAAGCCCAACAGGCGGCCGCAGTGAGAAATCCTCTCTAGGTGGGTCGGGTACAACGGGATGGCGGTTTTGAGGGGAAGAACGGGCGGGGTAAACGGTGAAGGGCACTTGAATGACAGCTGGAGACCGAAAAATGTTGAAAATCGAAGAAAAATAAATATTTGTTTTAATGAAGTCAAAAATAAGGGGAGGATGGCGCGCAAATAGGGAAAACCGTAGGCAATGACCAATTGAAGGAGGGCTGTCCGGGGACGTGATGTGATTGGCGGCCGGGGCGAGTAAACCTGAACCGCCAAGCGGCTAACCAATGGGATCGTTGGCGCCGCACTTGAAAGTGGTGTGCGTTAGATGGACACGAAGTATACGATA